CAGATGCCATTTGTCCTTCTGGGGTCTTTGTGTATCTTACTGCCTCACCCCTACCTGTGACGGCTCTGTGAAAGGGGCAGTTATCCCCACTTACTTTGTTTTTTTTTTGGTACTGGGGACTGAACCCAGGGCCTTCATAGTTGAGTTATATCTCCAGCCCTTTTACATTTATTTTGTGACAGGGTCTCACTAAGTTGTTAAACTGCCCAGGCTGGGCCCAAACTCAGAATTCTCCTGCCTCAGCCTCCCAGAGTGCTAACATTACAAGAGTGTACCACCATACCTGGCTTCCTCCCCACTTTTGAGGGGAGCAGTTGAAAGAAGTTGACAGGTGATCAGTTCAAACCAGGTTTAATGAGGGCTGAGTTGACACCAGAGGCCATGCTGTCTGCAACAGATATAAAGAACTTTTCTCTGGTGTGTGTGTGTGTGTGTGTGTGTGTGTTACCAGGTTTGACCCAGGGACTCTGTGGCTCAGCCATTTTCATTTTTTGAGACTGAGTCTTACTATGTTGCCCACGCCGGCCTCAGACTTGCAGTTCTGCCTCAGCCTTCACCACAGCCAGCAGTGTGACTTTTTTAATAAGTTAGTTTAATATTAGTGTTCAAGGACCACATAATTCTGTTCTTGCTTGTGTCTTGTTTTTTCCCCAAATTTATATTTTCTTCTCTGACCCCCTTTACGCCTACTCTCCCAGTAAAAAAAAAATGCCTGCAAACGTCAACCATTCAGAAATTCCTCTTTTTTAGTAGTTATCTTGGTTACTTTTCTCTCGTTGCTGAGACAAAATACCCATTGCCCAAAATTAGGGAAGGAAAGGTTTATTTAGCTCATGGTCTGCGGAGGTTTCTGTCTGTAATCAGCTGGCTACAAGGCACAGGGGAAGCACTTCAAGGCAGCAGAAGACAGCAAAAGCAACAAGAGCAGAGAAAGTGCATGTGTGGGTGGATGCTGAGGGGTGGACCTTTACACCCCACCATCTCCATGCCTTCCTCTTCCACAAGCTCAGGATGTTTACAAAGTAAGAACTCTGGCTCCCTGCTGAATTAAACTTCTAAACTTCTCAAGTTGACACAATGTATCAACCGTAACAGTAGTGTCTGCATTTCATCAAGTGAACAGGTAGTGTCTGTCTGTAGTCTGTGATGCTCCAGGGAAGACATGTGCTGCCTGGCCTTTTGCATTAGTGCCACTGGCTGAGCAGGAGCCGCAGAGTAGATAGCCAGAAGGGCCTGGTGAGGAGGAGCTGCTGCCCAGGCTGCCACGGCCCTGGGTCCGGAAGTGGGAGGGGCTGGGAGGCTGAGCCTCCTGGGAGGACACCCGTGAGGGCCATGAGGGAGTGCTCTGCCCTCGTGCTCGGGGACACCCCTCTCCAGACACTTGGGTGGCTGCTGGGTGTTTCAGGGCCCCGCCAGCTTCACTCCCACTTTCTGTCACCCTTTGCCACCACAGTCATGGACCTGTCGTGCCCGCTTCCTTCTGAAGGCCTTTCCCACATCAGAAAAACTATGTTTTTCAGCACTGGGGACTGAGCCCAGGATCTTTGCACTGAGCTACATCTCCAGCCCTTTTCTGTTTTTTAATTTTTATTTTGAGGCAAAGCTTGTTAAACTGCTGAATTGCCAGGCTAGGCTTGAATTTGGAATCTTGGCTCAGCCTCCTGGATTGCTGGGATGACAGGCATGTGCCACCAATTCTGGCTGCATCTAAAATGTTAACATTTTTTTCCACAGGGTATACCTGACTCTAGAGCCTATTGTAGAGTGTTTCACTGTATTATCTTACTGGCACAACACAACAATTTTAGTTGCCTCTGGACCTGAACTTTCTCCTCTTCCTCCCTCCCTCCTCCTTCTCCTTCTTCCTCTTTTTTTTTTTTTTTCTTTTTCTGTTGTACTGGAGATCAATAAGCTACATCGTTAGTCTTTTTAAAAAATTTTATCTTGATACAAGGTCTTGCTAAGTCTCTAAGTTGCCTAGAATAGGCTCAAATTTATGATCCTTCTGCCTCAACCTCCTAGAGTGCTGGGATTACAGGTGTGTGCCTCCACACCCTGCTTGAACTTGACTTCTTAAAGACTTCTGTCTAATCGTTGCATGCGTGACAAAAGTGACAAAAAAAAAGAGTTTTTGACAGTCTATAATAATTGTCACTTTTCTGTAGGAAACTCAGCCAACCGAGCGCCAGGCCCGTGTGAAGAAAGATTACTCCAACTTCATGGCTTCTCTGAATTTTGGCAGCTACTATGCAAGAGAGGTAATTCTGTCACCACTGTGCCCAAGGTTCAGAGTGTTCTCTTGGGTTGTCACCAGTTGGCTCTTCTTTTGTGGAACATCAGTAACGGGTCTGGGTGATGTGGAATTGACTCGTTTTAGGTGGCTTGAGGAGCACAGGGCTGACACTACTGGCATATTCCGAGGCACCTGCCTCACACAGGGATGTTCTGACTATGCTGAGGCATTCTGGCCTGTGGCTTTTTTAAGTGGTAGCAAACACTTGTTGAATGCCACGCATTCTCCTGGGAATTCCTAAGGTGTGCACACTGTAATTCTGGTTATACAGATGAGGAAACTAAGGCTTCTGAAATGCAGTAACTGGCCACAGCCAGGCAGAACAGCCTCTGTCAGCTCCATATTGCAGGCTTTCACCCAGCACGCTGCAGCTTATTTCCCCTGACCAGGCGCTGCACCTCTCGGGGCCTCAGTCCCTCACCACAGAGCACAGACGCTCAGTGTCGCTACTAGCGACTATGGAAGTGTGTCAGTAACCTGCCGTGAGGGGGCTGCCCTCCCCTTGGAACACTCTGTCACTTGCTTTTTCCAATGGCTGCTCTTTGCTCATGAGTCTCCCCAAGTAGAACCCATGCTCCGCTGAGTGATGGGCTTTTTGTTTATTCTTTTAAGACAGGGTCTCATGATCAGGTCAGGCTGGCCTTGAACTCACTGTGTAGCCCTGGCCAGGCTGGCATCGAACTCAGGACAATCCTCCTGGGTCAGCCTCCCCGAGAGCTGGGATTCCAGGTGTGCGCCACCATGCCTGGCTCTCTGCTGAGTGACAGTTGCCCACGTGCTGGGAATTGTCCAGAGTCTGTTCCACATTGCTTTGAATACCCTGGTGGCAGAGGGAGGGCTGAGTTTGGGAGATACATTTTTTTTTTTAAAGAGTCAGATCTTTTTTACAGTTTGTGAATCAGAAAAGAGTCCTGATTCCTGGGAAAAATGATTATGTCTCACTTTACAAACAATGAGGCACCTCAGCGGTAAAGTGCTGGCCTAGCATGACTGAGGCCCTGACTTTAGTCCCTTGTACCTCAAACAAACAACAAAATGCAGCTGATTTTGTTTGAATCGTCGCGTTTAGAGGAATTTTGTGTCTAGTCCGTGTTTGTGCAGTCCCGCCATGGAACAGACCGAGGGCACAGCCCTGGACACAGTAATGGAGACTGTCCCATCCTCAAGGAGCATCTGCAGTCGTGGCGATGCCAACGGGCACCTGTGAGGGCTGCAGTGGTAAAATGTGTTTAGCATGAGGCTGTGGACCGCAGTGGTCCCCAGCAGTACACGCAGGCCGTACTCAAGCTGACCGCAGTGCTCATGAGCAGCAAAGGTAGCACACACATACCTCCGTGGAATTCTGGGCTGCCTTTAGGGAATGTTTGCCAAAGTGGTTCTTAATAAGTTGGAGTCCTGGTGGAAGAAAGAGGTGGTGCTCCCAGGGTGAGCTCTCCGTGGCCTTGCCTGGGAGCAGAAAGTAAAGCAAAGGCTATAGTTGGCCCCAGCTGGGGCTGACTGTCTTGTCTACCTGCAGAAGCTGTGAGCGGGTCCAGCCAGGGTCAAAGGCCTCTGAATAATGTGTTTTTTTGGTTCCAGATCGTGACCCGCAGCTTCTCCAACCTGTGTGTTGGGGGGGCCTCTGGATCTTCAACAAGCATGGCATGGAGACTGCCTTGGCCTGCTGGGAGTGGCTGCTGGTTGGTGAGAATGGAGTGGAAATGACAGTTGGCTCACAGTCTCTCAGTGAGGGCCTCATACGAGATAGAAGAGGCTGCCCTGGAAGGATGCTGGCAAGCCTGTCACCCTCGCTAGCCTTGGTCTTCTCATAGGTTGTGCTGTTCCTGCCTGACTAAACAAACATGGAAATGCAGAACTCAGCGTATGTTAGAGTAGCGCTTGTAGAGGGGTAGTTTTCCAAACGCTCGGTAGGGGGAGCCATTTCTCCACTGAAATTAGAAGGCTGTCAGTTGAAGGCTGTTAATACTGGCTCTATGGGGTATGTATGCATTTGTCAGTAAGGACAGGTGTTTCGGCCTCCATACTTTGGGATCAGCAAATTTCCCCCGAATCTATATTTTTGGAGTTGCTATTGCACAGGACTTATAGGCAAGGTTATACAGGTTACGTATGCCTCATTCAAAATGCTTAGAACCAGAGGGTTTTCAGACTCTGGATTTTTTCAGATTTTGGAGTATTTGCATATATAATGACATATCTCAGACAGAACCCAGTTCTAGACACAAAATTAATTTATGCTTCATGTACCCCTTATGCACATAGGTTGGGGGTAATTTTATACAATATTTTTAGGCTACCTGTCTTTTTACTCTGACTGATTACATGACTTCCAGGTGTGGCTTTGTATCAGTACTCAGAATGTTTCAGGATTTGGAGTTTTTCAAATTTCAGATTTTCAGATTACGGTTGCCTGAACTGTACCCACCTTTCAGCAGAAGGGGAATGTCTAAGAATCTAAGAACGGTCAGGCTGGCATAATATGAAGAGAAATAGCTGGTAAACATTGTTTCTGTTATTTTTGCCGAGGTGATATTGGAGTCTGGCTTTCCGTTTTTGGGTATATTAGTAAAATAAGGGGCTGGGGTTTAGCTCAGCGGCAAAGCACCTGCCTGGCAAGTGCAAGGTCATGAGTTCGATTCCTGGTACCAGGAAAAAAACAAACAAACAAACAAACAAAAAGTAAAATAAGATCTTTGTAAAAATTGTAGGTTGAAAGAAAAGGAAAATGAAATGAAGACAGTAGAAGCCATGCCAAAAGAGAGGGAGAGTGATCGTCCTAGCAAGCTATTACAGGTGAATATGATTACTTGAAATTAGTTATTTGGTGAGTTATCATCTTTGCATGTTTTTTAAAAAAGTTTTAACTGCTGTAAAAGAAAATAAAGTCCTGAGTGAGCCATCCACCCTGATATGGGTCTCATTCCTCAGGGATAACTACTGTCAATATTGGTTATAGCTTTTGAAAGAATACCCATGCATAAATACATGAATGTATGTGTACTTACTTTTTAAAACATAGTGTACATAATTACACAGACTTTTCATTTTTCCTTTTAGTTTTTTGAGACAGGGTATATGTAAATCATGCTGGCCTTGAACTCACTATGTAGCCCAGGCTGGCCTTGAACTCCAGTGATCCTCCTGCCTCAGCCTCCAGAGTTTTGGAGTTAAAGTATGTGCCATCCCACTAAGGTTATGCAGACTTTTGATTTTTGCTTTGCCCCAGTTACCGATGTTTTTCACTTTCCACATACGTGCATTTCTGCTTTGTGGTATCATATGGTTGTACCTCCACTTACATAACCAACTCCAGTCTTTGGTACCTAGCCTGTTCAGGGTCATTTGTCCCACTACAAACAATATCACAGTGAATATCCTTGACCACCTACAGTACTTTAAATACTTTTGCTAGTGTGTCTGTTATAAATTCCTAGAAGTAAAATTCTAGGTCAGATGTTAATTCAGGTTTTGTGTGTTTTATTTCACATGATATTGAAGTGGCAGCACATCTGTCGGTCCCTGCAGTGCTGTGGAGTAGACCCCTCGCATTTCATGCCCCAAGGGTTGGTTCTGTCCCATGTTTGCTCCCTCCCAGGTGTTGCTGTGTTCAGTTCTGTTAGGCACCATTAAATTGCCCTCCAAAGGTGTTCTTACTAATTATACCCCGGCTGGTGGAGGCCACTCTTCCTTTCCAACACGGACAGGCGGTGAGAACAGCTGATAATATTCTTGAAGGATGGTAGGATTGTTTTAAATTTGCATTCATGAGTGAAGTTAAAAGTTCTTCATATATGCCATTTGTATATGAAATATCCTTAAATTTTTCCCATATTTTTCCTTCTGGGACAACTTCTTTGCTAATTTATAAGGGAAGTTAGTCCTCTGTTATTTGTGAGGTGATCCCTGCCACCCCTCCAGTTTTCCTTTAGAAAAGGAAAACTCTTTTCTTTTGTGTTCCTTTTGTGTTCCTTTTGTGTTCCTTCCTATTTTTGGAGAGCTTAAATGTTTACGTATGAAGTGTAAGTACTTTGCTGAGTTTTAGTCTTAGGACTGTCACTCTGATCATAAAGGTATTTTTATATTTTCCTTAGATTTTAAAAATTCATATGTATCTTCAGTATGTTGTGAAAATAACATTCCAACCTTTATTTATTTATCTATCTATTTTGTCTTTTTGAGACAGGGTCCTCGCTATGCAGTTCAGGCTGCCCTTCAGCTCACTTTGTAGCCCAGGCTGGCCTCAAACTCACAACAATCCTCCTGCCTCAGCCTCCCAAGTGCTGGGATTACAGGCATGCACCACCACGCCGGGCGCATTCCAACCTTTAGAAAGAAGCTAGCTCTGTTATTAAATCCTGTGTCATTCTGCAATGGCTGTGCTCCCCAGGGTATGTTTAATATGTGGAGTCACGGTTGGTTGTCACATCTGGGGAGGGGTGCCCTAGAACCTATTGGGTAGCAGCTGTGGATAGTCTGTAGTACATAGGACAGTCCACTACAGCAAAAACATGCCTGGCTGAACATACTGGACATGTCATGGTTGAAGCACCTTGCCCTATTAACTTAAAATATCATCCTGTAGATTCTTGGGTCTATTTCTGTATCCTTTTTTGTTCCTTTTGAAATGTACCCACTTCCAGGCTACTGCTAAATATAACTGTTGTAATTACATATGTTTTAATATAGCTTTTATCATATCCTTTAAAAATTGTTACTACTTTGGAATTTTTCTAGATTGTATAGTACGTTTCAAAAGCTTATGTTGTGGTTTGGGGTTTTGTGAGGGAAACAATACAATACAGGACACATATTTTGTAAGATTATTTATAATATTCACCTAAAGACTCATATACAAAAAGAGAGTGCAGCAAATCTGTCCACACACTAAAAACCAAAGAATCCAGCCGAGGGCCTGCATCTCACAATAATGTCCTGCATGAGTTCAGCTGAAGACCTAGAGCCCATAATCATGCCTCCCACGAGTCC